TGAGATACAGCTTACTCACGACCTAAACAAGGACAAGCAATATATGTACGGGTGGATGATGAAGGAATAAAATTCAGTCACTATATTATTATAGCCAGCCATGTTGTGGGATCATCAAACAGCAGGGCTTTTTTTTCTCGGAATACATCTATTATTCAATTTTATTGCCCACTGTGTCGACAGCTGTTCATATCTCCTTAAAGTCCGCTTATTCTTTACTATCTGCAACCTAAAATAATTACCCAGGGGATTTTAATATGACTCCACAAACAAATTTCAGAAATGAAGTTGTTTGTGTTTTTTGGAGCATTGGATTTTTTTTCAGCCAAAAAACGGCTGCTTTTACTGGACGTCCAGCTCATTTCTTGGAGATGTAAATGCTGAAACAAGGCATACATCAAGTATACAGTATATGCTTTTGTCTCATCAACATACATTATAGGGGAAGACAAAGCTCAGACTCAGAGAGAGTCCGATGTCTTGCTGAGACTTCATGGATATTTTAAAGGTCTCCTCCACAAATTGCATTGAATTTTTCATGAGGCTACATCTGAACGTGTGTTCGGGGTAGTATGTACTGTACTGTATGTGCACATGTGACCAATCCACATACAGTGATATTGATTGCTACTCATATCACAGAAAGAATATTTTACACATTTATGTATGTTTACTTACTTGTATTGTACTTGTATGTATTCAATCTACATTCTGTGTTTCAGTGTTTTCAAGAAGGCTTTCGATTGAATTAATTCATGTGTCATTGGAGCACATCTTGAAGTCCAGCTCAAAAGTGCTAGGAAGTGCTGTGACTGTCATGATTACATTCTGTTTAGTCCCCAGTAGATGGCAGGGGTGGAACTTCCTTTCAGCAGCACCTGTTCCCCATTCACTAATTATGATCACGGACTACTGTAGGACTCTCACTTTGACAGTTCATTGTCACATAATTTACCTTACTCAAGCCATTGTTCAAGTGCTGTTTTCCCAGACGTTCCATGTTAGTGTACCTCACTCAGTTCTCTTTCCTCGTTTTGTGTCTTTCATTGTAAGTAGTTTCCCTGGTTTTCATTGTATAGATATTGTCGGATTGTATTCGTTGCAAATGGTCCTTTTATGACAAGCTATTTCCATTTAGCGCTTCCTTGCCGTTTGCAAGCGCTTTTTGTCCTCGTTGTTATCCTAGTTATTTTGCCAGTGTCCTTATTTGTACTTTGTCGGCCTCGTGCCTTCTTTCTGTAAATATTTTTTTGAGATCTATCAGAGTCTACATTTGCAGAGTCCGATTCTGTCCGGAAAATTTCCGGATATCCTGACAGTTACACCTGGCGCGGCAAACGGGTTCTGAAACCAATTGCAGAGGCCATCAGCAAGGGTGTAAGTCGCTTACACGCAGTTCAGAGCTAGGCATTCTGGGAAATCTTTTTTTCTACCGGAGCCATCTTGGGTGGTTACACACATGCTGCACGCATGCACACACAGCTAATGTTAACAGCTATTGTCAACTTGTTTGATGATAGCATTTTCAATGAATTTTGATGACTTGTCAGCTGATCCTCCAAACGCGATACCAGCAAAAAGTGACTCTGTGTGGAGGAATTAACCCAAACACACTATCGAAGGCTGATTTTTCAGCAGACAATGCTTGGTTGGCCAAGTGTGTCTTATCCTGACATTGTTCATTTCCTGGTATCGACGACATGATCTGTGACACACCGCCAGATGAAAGCTGACAAATGACTGGAGGCTTACAATTATTTTGTAAGCGGCTGGATGCGGAGTGTAAACTTCTAAATGATATCCAAAGAAGCAGTTCATGCCGTTGACCGACACGAATGTAGCTCGATTCTGAATCGACAGACGTGTCGCAGACAAACGTAGTGTCTCGTGCTCGATTTTGTGTTGTCTTGACCCCCGTGTGACGATTGGTCGTCTGGCATCTGGGATGCTTTTCACAACCACGATGATGAAAGTTCATGTTGTATAGCTACTGGTAGCTGTACCTGTCTGTAACGAAAAATGATGATGTGCTTTTTCTGATTCTCTGTGATTTCTCACTCATACTCTGACAAATTACCATCATATCAGTTTATTTAATGGTTCGCCAGAACACAAGTCCTCACTAATGCTCGAAAAAATTAATTAGCACTGGCATTCCAACAATGCACATTACACCCTATACAGTGAGGTGTCATGGTTTGTTATTTCACTACAAATGAAGTTGTCGTTAGCACTTAGTGGTCATCTGTAGATTTCTGGACATCCAAAAATGGTAAACAAAGTGATCGCTGCACACATGAGCCCAAGCTATGAATTGGCCTTTGAGGTCTATACAGGAGATGTTACTCAGCCACTTCGCTTGCCATATTTTTGACATTTCTTCTTCTTCTTAAGGAAATGTGTATCTTTTTCTCTCTTGGCACTATTATAACGCACTAAGAGTGCCTCAGTTTAAGAGCAGCCGAGAAGCATGTTTTGCGATGAAATGAATAATTCCGGTGAATGCTATCCACCCAAGATGGTGAGTGAAAAAATACAAAGTGGAAGTGACATTACGTGCATGTGACCTATTAACAGCTGCAGCTGAGTGCAAAACACCACCAGTGCAATTCGTTTTGTGAAGGCAGGATTGCAGTTAAGGCCAGGGCACAAGAGTGGCAGCGGGGATCCTGTCTGCTGCCCGAGCATGGCAATTTCTTGTGGACCTGGAAAATCGGCTGAGATTCCCATAACATATCATCGGTGGATTTCTGAGCTCAGATATACCTCTGGTCTCCGGGGCCACAGAGAACATCCTTATCATGGAGCTGACGGCACCATGGGAAGACCACTTGGGGGAGGCGCATAAAAGAAAGAGGGCCAAATCTGAACATCTGGTCGTCAGCTGTCAAGTGCAGGGCTGGAAGGCAGAAGTGTATTCCTTTCAAAGTAGTCTAAAGATAATTCGAGCTTGAACAGTCGCCTGCACTGACAATACATAGGAGAGGCTATTGTGTGACTGTGTGGGTGGTCTTAGTATTTCAAAAGGTGTGCTGCTCTCTGGTGGATAAAATGTGAATTAACTTCAGTGGTCCAACCAGCTATTTAAAATTAACGTGTTACTGTATTTTCAATTGCCAAGTTCGGGGGACAATCCACAGCCTGCAAGTAACAGCAATGTGGAAGATTTGACAAGCATTAAGTAAACAGTACACTCATCTCACCCACGGTGTCTCTCGCATATATGTAGGAAGAATAATAAAATAGAGAAACCTGATTTCTCAGATTATGGTACTCATTAAAGTCGCTAAATAAATAACTGCATAGAATATAACACATAAGAAAGGGAAACTCTGGTATTTATACCTTGAACATGATGAAAGGTATTGAGGGAGTATTAAAATTCACCCTACCTGAGGGAGTCACCTCATCGTTTTCAGTGCACGGACTAGTCACATGTTCATAAACAACAATGGAGGAAAGAGTCAGAGAAAGGTGTGTTTTCAATATGGAAGTACAGTCACTATTTTTGCTGAAGTTTATTGCACACTGTGTTGTCATGAGGTTTTGTAGCTTCAAAGACAGACTAAAAAAAAAAACAAGGTGGCTAAGCAGAATACATTCCAGTTTAAAGAGAAAGTCACACCACATTCGGCGCAAGAGGTCCCCGAATGTAAACGTTAAACTTATAAAAAATGTACATTATAATTGTTCAGTTTTACCTTTTACAATATCCATTCATCCATCTATTTCCTGATCTGCTGATCTGCTGGAGCCGATCCCATCTGTCCTCGGGCAGTAGGCGGGGAACACCCTGAACAGGTTGCTGAGTGTAACGATTGAAGTACCTTGTGATCTAATTTAGTTACTGTACCTTTAAAATCAACTAGTCATTAAAGTAACTTACTTTTTAAAGTAAGTAATCAGCAACGTCACCACCACTTTCCAACAGTGGTAACACTGTTCAACACAAACAATCAGTCTGCTCTCTCCTCACGGATGATGTCGGCTCCGCATGTGATGTGGACAATTGGAGACTGCCTTACAAAACCGCGATCGTGCATCTATGTGTGACCACTTCTCCCACTTCCCATTTGTCATCGGGGTGCCATTAATATATTTTTAAGATGATGCTGATAGTAATTTGTTCAATAAATGGATTTCTATAATGATTCAGAGAGATTCTCCCATGCTGGTGTCATTATTAATGAAATCCACCACACACTTCTGCGAAGTACCGAATCTATGCCTGTACCTCGATCAAATCTACCAAAATTCCGAAACTAAAATCCAGTCTACTTTTTTGTCATCAAATTCCAAGATGTGCAAACGGCGAGTCAGGTGTCAACGCACTGTCCACCAAATTCCAAAAGATGCGAAACCAGACTTGCCCACCAAAAAATGAAAATGTGACAATTTTTATGCCGAGCTCTGTCAACTTTTTGTTACCGAAATTTCAGCTGTGTCAGGGGCGTGGCATCTCCTTTTGCCGGAACCCCCAGAGAGGTGAAACACGGTCCCAAACTCAATAGACTAGACTTGACCTGGCACGAAAATGAAGATGTGCCTTTTTTGACACCAAGCGCATGAACGGCTGTCCATGAAAGTAGGGCCTTTGGTGTTTTGCAACACTTCAACCTGAATAAATCATGTAAGCAATGTAGCAGCCATGAATAAGATTGCTGGCTCGTCAACAAATCTCGTGCACGTTTATGTCAGTGCAAGGCGTGACTTTGGTCAAAGGCAATGGGCGGAAGCAGTCAAGTGAGACTACATTCAGAATTTGCTCGCAATTTGAAACCACAAACTCCCTCTTTAACCCTTTCAGGGACAGCGGTTACTACAGTGGACATCTTCTCATGTTATCGGGTTACAGGGTGCATGAAAGGGTTACTGATGGCTGTTTTCAGTTGCTGCGCAGCCACTTTGTGTGAGAGTTGCGGACGTGTCATTGGGCCAAATCTGAAAAAATTAATAAAATACTGACCATTCAGCTGCTTCACCATCTTGGCTCTTTCTCACTATTTCCTATGTTGGTTGTTTTAATATGACGGCCACCCCTTTTCTTATTTTTGTTGGTCATACCTCAAAAGCACTAACTCCAAGAAAGGGTGAGCGCAAAGGAGGCAGGCACATATGGTCAGATTAGCAAGGAGAGAGGGGCTGGAATCCGTTACGTGCATCTGGATCCAAAAACCACTGGCCTCGGAGCAACAACTAAATCAGAAACAACATAGAATGTTCTGGAGTAACAAATCAAAGCAGCGCCTTTTCTAAAGGCAGCAAGACGAAAAGGAGTGGGAAGAACATCCATTTCTCAAGAAACCTTTCAACACAGCAGGACTATTGTTACGGATTCAAATCCCAAGGATCGCTGTTTTGTGTGTGTGTGCGTGTGTATGTGTGTATGTGTGCATGTGTGCGTGTGCGTGTGTGTGTGGCACGGGGGTCTTTTCAGGCAACGCATTGAATGCAATGTATTCTGTGGCAGAGCTGCAGAATAACTGAACAAAATTTCTTATTGAAACTGCAATAGATTCCGTGCTTCATTAGTTTACACGAGAGTGCAAACAATGTCACACAGAGAGCTTTTTTTCCTTTTGTTATGCGTCTGTCTAAGTGTGAGTTTTGTCAAGAGCCAAGGTTCCGCCCAGGATGCCTTTATACTACAGTACCTGGAGAGGAGACTGACTCAGATAGAGGTAAGTGTGGGATAGTTCTTAATTTATATATCATGTTTATAAGGCATGTCTGTATAGATTCTTCGACCCGCTTATCCTTACAAAGGTCATGGGCGTGCTGGAGTCTCTCCCATCAGTCTTTGAGCGAGATGCAGGGTACACCCTGAACTGGCCGCCAGCCAACCACAGGGCATAAACAATCAAACAACAAATTCACATCTACGGACAACCTCGAGTGTTAGTTAAACTACCATACATGTTTTGTTTTTTGGAATATGGGAGAAATCCGAAGTAACCTGGAGAAAACCCACGCAGCTACAGTTAGAACATGCAGACTCCACACATGAAGGCCGGAGTCCGGATTTCAAGCCACAACCTCTGCACTGTGAGACAGATGTGCTAACCAGTCGTCCACAGTGCCGCCAAAGTGGGTTTGATGATGTTGCCAAATTTGCCTAGCGAGACTGTGATAGGTCGAGAGATTCAGGCGAGAGGCTCAGGCTGGATTTCTGTTGTTGGTACATAGTTTTCAAGTTGACAACAGAAGGCAGAGTTTCATTTCACTGGCATCTTCTGAAACGTGACATCCCATGGCATTATTGTGTGAATTTTGAAAGCAACATTACATTTCGGGTAGCCCTTCCATGAAAGAAAGAACAATTTACAATGGCCTGGCAAAACCACAGAATGGCCTTGGATAATGACATTTTAAATGAATCAATCAATACCGTATTTTCCCCATTAAAAGGCGCTTCACAGCCTAAGGTGCAGTTTCAATGAATGGCCTTTTTTAAAACAGTTTTCATATATAAGGCGCGCCACATTATAAGGCGCATAGAATAGAAGCTACAACAGTGGCTGCAGTTGCGTTATGCATCCACTAGATGGAGCTACGCTGAAGGGAATACAATACAGCTTCATTTATATCGAGCTTTCACAACCACTGCAGCTGTTACAAAGCGCTTTACAGAACATTTAAATACTATGTACAAGAAATCAGAATATTGATCCCCATATAAAGCACATCAGATTTTAAGGAGCACGGTCACAATTTGAGAAAATGGAATGCTTTTAGATTCGCCTTATATGTGGAAAGTACGGTAAATAGAATGAAGGTATTGAATATTCTGGATTATAATGACTGTGCATTTATATTGTAAATTAAAAGTAATGCATTAAAAAAATCATTCCAACTCAAAAAAAACAGAAATGTGTTTTCGATTGTGGTCCAATGGAATTGTACAACTCACAATGAGGTTTGTTCGCACATCAGCAGGTATTTTGTTGATACTCACTCCTGAGCAACTGCTTCATGTGTCTCAGGAATGAAGCATGCCTTCGTCAGTCTGTATGTTTCATCTGCTTCTACAGATGGTAAATAAGATTTAGGTCAAGGTTTGTAAAAAGCTACTTGAGAATCGTCCAATGTTTTGTTCTGAGCCAGGATTTTGGCGTTTTAGCTGTGTGTTTTGGGTAATTATAATCTTACAGGGCCGATGTAACGTCTGACTAGTGGGCAACACATTTCACTCCAGAAAACTTTCGTGGTCTTCGGACTTCATTTTACACAGCACAGATTCAAAAAAAAAAAAAAAAGACGAAAGAGCACGAGAAAGCTGGCCTCCTCAATGATCACACAGTCAGGAATGTGCAGTTTTTCTTTCGGTAAAAAAATGATGTGACTTGCTAAAATGCTCCACCTTCGACATAAGGACATTCAAAATGACTTCAGCCATTATTTTAGGAAGGTGTGTTTCAGTGGGACAAGCACAGTAAATACATTTACAAGGCTTAAAGGCTTATGGAGAGTACATCTTTGTGAAATAAGGTTGAAAAGCATTGAATCTGTACTGAATATTTTGTTCTGAAAAGTTGGTTATAACCTTCCCTATTCAAACACAGATTTTATAAAAAGGTTTTGCGCCGTAAGAGCTCCTTGAAGCTGAGCAACTGCATTCAAACAAGAATGTTTTTTTCTTGCCTCCGTTTTCGCACTTCTGCTTGTAAAAGCAACAGTTTGGCGAGGGCTAGTTCATGATTTGATTGAATCATGCAAATTGTTGTGATTGACCTACTTTGCTTCTAAAAGAGATGGTGCTTTTTCATGTCAGAGTTAAAGTTGCCTGACGTCAAACCCGTATTTATTTTTTCAAAAGTTCTTTTTTGTAATTGATGTCAGGAACGTCTGAGTCAATGTGAGCAAAACACCGTGACCATAACCCAGAAGACCTACGATGTTTCTTCAGAAATGAGAGGTCATCTGTCCACCTTGAATGTTATGAGGTACGACTTACTGTGAATAATTGCCTTTATGATGAAGGACTCGTACGTATGTGGCACCAAGAAACAAGAAGTGCCCGAAATGAGAAGTGATTTCCCCTTCAGATCAGAGGTGAGGAGCCAGCTGGAGAGCATCTCTGCGCGTGTCGAGCGTGTGGAGAGAGAGCTGGAATATCTCGAAAACAAGATGCCCGCCCAATCTGACATTGAGATGGAGGAGGCACTGCTGGAACAACAGATAAAAGCAGCAGAACTGGATCAGCTCAAGAGAAAGGCTAAAATCAAAGTGGAAAATGGTATGGTCATACTGGAATATGACGCAAGACTATTTACAGTATTAGGACATGTAGACCGAGAAAAATCCAAGAAAAGGGCCAATTCAAGTAAGACCTTGCAACAGAAGAGCTCAATTCAAACATATTCTCTGTGTTCTACTGTCATTTACAGATTGCAACGTAGCCTTGAGTCAAATTAAGTCGCTCAAAATGGTGAAGAAGATGGGGGATAACGCGGGCTCCTGGTTCAAGGACCCTGCTGCTGGAGCAGCCAAGGTATGTACCACCGTTTTGCAGCCGGCAGTAATCACGAGGCATTTGTTGTCCTTATTTTCATCTCGGCATTGAAGGGACGATGGCTCATGTGATCGCCACAGAGCAACAGTACAATGCTATTTATTAGGATGAGAGAAAAATAATTTGTTTGACCACAGGACTGTTCACTTACAACAAGTCTGATTTTTCTTAAAGGTCTACCTGCTGAGTGGAATTCGTAACGACACCCTACTGGAATACGCATCTCTCCAAAGCTTCTCGGAGAAAATCGCCGTACCCCCGTTCAAAGTGGTCAGGCTGCCTTTTTCATGGCAGGGAACAGGCCACTTGGTCTACAATGGATTCCTCTACTACCACAAAGCAGACACACCCAACCAGATACTAAAAGTGTGTAAATGATATCCCACCTCACACACATTAGGGTGTGTTGTTCTTTCTGCACATTTATAAAAAAGCCAAATTCATGCAGCGGTCCTGCAGAGGGAGTGGATACTTTGGCAACAGAGGTCATTTCTTATTCCTGATTCATTTTAAAGTTGCAGTGGATTGCGTAATGTGGCTCTTGGCTGGAGACTGAGTGCACTACAAGTGAACTTCATTGGGGAGGATTATTTTTCCTGTTTTCTTTACTATCCAGTATTATTTGAGGCCAGTAAGTGAAATTTTCTAAAACAAATTTCTGACTTGAAAGCACCTCACAGTGCACCTCCCGTCATTAGATATTTAAGTTATCTAGGGCACCACTGACCACCAAAGACAGTCTGGGAGGAATGCATCCAAAACACCAGTCCCACAAAGCATACCTGCTTTGGT